GGGGGGGGGGGGGGGGGGGGGGGGGGGGGGGGGGGGGGGGGGGGGGGGGGGGGGGGGGGGGGGGGGGGGGGGGGGGGGGGGGGGGGGGGGGGGGGGGGGGGGGGGGGGGGGGGGGGGGGGGGGGGGAGAGAGAGAGAGAGAGAGAGAGGTTGTTTTGGGGTAAGTGTCAAAAACTAGCGTCTACGAAGAATCCACCCGCGTTTGATTTTTTAGCTTTTATTTTACATTTATTCATTCTTTTTAATGATCGTATTAATTATTTATAATTAAAATTTTGTATAATTTTATTAAAATAATAATTATTAATATCTAAAAAAATTTGAAAACTTGGAATTTAAGACATATTAATATTTTATTAATTATTTATTATAATAATATAAAATTTCGAAGTATATCGCCTTTAATATAATTTATTCTACCATATACAAATTTTTTAAATATAATTTATATTAAATATTTATAATTAAGAGTCTATATATTTTTATTAAAATCATCCATTCGAGGATAATTATTAAGATTTATTACCAAATAAATAACGTATATAAACGAAAATTAAATTATTTTAACAATATATCTCAATAAAAATAAAATAAAATAGTTAATGATAAATAATTTATAAAATTAATTTTATTTATGTAAAATTTTGTTAATGTTTTTCGTATAATATATGATACAGTTATTTTGTTCTCTCTAATCTTATTTTTTTCGGCCATATAAATTTAACTAAAAATATGAATTTTCATCGAATCGAGTTAAATCATGAAATTCTACGATTTTGGGTACTTGGAAGGATGCCACGAGTAAGTCCGTTCGGGTAAAATAGGTCCTCGATATATTTCGAGTTCAGAATAGGATTATACTGTGTAGTCCGCACATTCCTCATTCTCTATAGATTAAGTAGCGGAAATGTCTCACTGTTGCCTTATGTAAGAGTCTAGGTCCATTCAACTGAAAATAATAATAAATAAATTAAATAATAATAATAATAATAAATAAGCTAAACGAACGAGCTTCTATGTCCTACTCACGTTCTCGCATCTATATTTTAATCCAAGGTTACCGTTGGGGGCTAGGGCGTGTTTGGTAAGGCGTTGTTCTCTAGCTTTATCCAGGATAGTCTTTTGGTAATTCAAGCAGCCAAACAGAAAAGGCGGGAAATTCTCTTCTAACTCCAAAGTCCTCGAATTTTCTTCGATTCTTGATTTCCCGCTCCCATCGCCTTCACTCTCTTCCATTCCTCTCTCGCCCTAATCCCAAACTGTATTTTTTTTTTCTTCTTAATTATCGTGCGGATCATTGGCTGTGTCCTTACTAAGAATCGTTCAATTCAAGATTCAAAACTCTTCAATTCGCATCTACCTTCAACTCCTCGATCGGCAGCTGTATAATTCCTGGTAAAATCTCCTGGTGGAACTGAAATCTATTTTAGTTGTTGAAGATCTGGGGATTTCGAGTTCTGGTTGAGGAGTATTGTTCTGTCAACAAGGCGTAGATGAGATTTGGGAATTTTGGTTTGTCGTGTTATTGATTTGATTCTTTGTAAAGAATGGCTGATTATTTTCGTTTTGATCCGGATGAGTTCAGTCTCCAAAGCACTGTGGAACTGCAGAAAGCTTGGTATCTGTTCACGGTATTGCTGGATATTGGTCACCCTGCTTCTGTGGAAGAAATCGTTGTGAGATGCGAATTGTTCAGCGTTACACCAGATTTTGTTCGGTATCTATGCGAAATTCCCAATTCTCCTATCTCTCTAGCGGATAATTCTCTCGTTTTTATCTCCGTAGTTGCGATCTCTTCTGTGGGGCGGTATTTTTCGAAGGCAACGAACGGATGGGATTCTTTGAGACGGCATTTTGGAGTTCTAGAGCCCAATAGGCTCTGGGGTAGCGATGTTAAAACATACTTTCGCAAACGGAAAAGATCAATCTTAGATTCTGGAGTACCTTTTCCTGCAAAAAGAATGTTAACTTCAACTTCTGGAATTGGTACAAGTCTAGGGTTGTTTTTGTTTTCTTTATTTACTATTTTCGACTGTTTTTTTATATTTATTTTCGTAGTTACTTCGTTCAAGTCTGACCAAAGATGATTGATGATTGTTGTAGGGAATGGAAGTTGTTTGTCAATGACAAGAAGGATTTCTCAGAATTTTGATGAGGTACAATTCCAATTTTTCTCTTTCAATTCCTTTTCCGGTTACGTTTTTAATGTGTAACCTTTGAGAATTTGGATGGCCCATATTGTTTATGTCTTTATTCTGCTGAAGGACGGAGATGCTTCTTTTTTGTTTGCAATATGAAACTATAAAATTCTTACGAGCGATTACGTTTTCTTTCTTTCTTTAAGTTAGGAATGTTTAATACGAACTTGGTGTTTATTTACAAATTCAAATAGTTCAATCTGGTCGATGACCATCTTTCCTTGTTATCTTGCATTTCTCTTCCAATAGTAAACTTTTTTATTTTTTTCCTATTTATTATATTTTTATCGAGTTGGGGACTTGGATGCAATGAAGCAAATGTGAATCTTATTTATATTGAGTTTGTTACCTTGGAATGTATTATAGTTTTATTCTTCTAATAGTTATACGTAGCGTAGTGCGAGAGTTATTTGTGATAAATTTGTGATAAATCTAGTCTATAATTTATTTTTATATGCTTGATGTTTTACAAGTTAATGACTTTGTCATGCTTGACCCCAGATTGTAATTTTCTTTCTGTTCGGAGCAGAACACAGCTGACTTTTTTTTTTCCTGCATGAAGGTACCTGCTGACTATTTAACTCTCACCAGTTCAAATTCGCTGACAGTTAATTTGCCTTTTGAACATCTAGAAATGGGACATTTGGATGTAAAAATTGATGAAGAGCCCTTTCCTCTTGATTATGCTGATTTTCCCAACTTTTTGATGAGTCACGATGGACGAATGGGAATTGATAATGATGCTCAAGCTAGTAAAATTTTGATTAAAGATGATGCTGGTTTATTGAGTGAGAATGGACATGATTGCCACATTAACGAAGTACAAAAAGACTCAAGTATACCAAATGTAAGACACGCAGATAGAGGAATGTTATGTAACCTCGATCTTTCTTTGGGTCCACCGTGTAGCTCCACAAACACACTTCCTTGTGACAAAATCCTTGACAATAACAATAAGTTGGCTATTAGATCAGGAAACACATCTGTGTCGTGCCTTGGAGGTGATATGCAGCCTCGTGTTCAACCTTCTGAGGTTGAGAATGGGATTTGCACTAAGCATTTGTCTAATATATCGGAATGGAAGCTAGAAGATGAGAAAAACAAGATTTGCGAAATGAAAAATTGCTCCGAGAACACTAAAACAACAGAAAACCATCTTGTTCACTTGGAGGGACACGCAGTAACTGGTGAAGCAGGAAGAAACTTTCTAGACTTGAGAAACCCAGTAACCATATCAAACATGGATAGAGATGACATATCCAGGAAAGGCAACACTGAGATTCCTTGTTCCTTACCTGACCATTTGTTTGATCAGCAGCCATCTGTCAAGACCTTTGGGGAACTTGATGGATCACAAAAATGTACTTTAGTTCCCGAGAAAGTTCTCATGGAGTCTGCAGTTAGTAAGGAGGTTTCTCAAACTCTTGAGCAGCAAAACCGATATAACAGTGTCCATAAACCGACGTCTAAGGTGCAGAAGTTCAAGAAGAGTTCAAATGAGAATGTGCACATTAAGGAAAATCCTTTGGACTCTCCCACTTCATCTCTGAAGGTAAGTTTCTCGCACACTCATTTTGCGCAACCTTTGGAGCTATCTACTTTTGAGTGGAAAATTATGCTTGAGCTAAAATGTGCTATTGGCTATGTATGGTTGAAATATCAAAATCAATGCCTAATGATTGTTCTGTTGAACCAGTTGGAGAAAACATCATTTCCTCAATTCGAGTCCTTCATCATCGAGGAGGAAGAAGGTTCTGGTATGCAACTTCCTTTTCTTATCTCACTTTGTGGCAGATCCCTATTTCTTCTCGTTTCCACGGGTGCTAATAATGTTCCATCCTATTCAGGTGGTTATGGAACTGTTTACAGGGCTCGAAGAAAAAATGATGGGAAACGT